AAAGTCTGCATGAAATGGAAATTATGACTGACTTTTCATCCAAATTGTGACTTGTATCCGGGTGAAATAGCTTTGTGAGCGAGGAATTAAAAATGCAAGCAAGGATTTGATTTTGTCAACCAGGAATTGACTATAAAGTGGGAAATGCAAACTGAATGGATGATCGTTTGAGTGGCAGGCAGCTGGAGGAACTCAGGCTCATCTGGCCATTGGACAACTTTATTGCCTAGCCCTTGAACCAACATACAATCAGAGAAGATAAGTTGTAGCAAGGGGGAAGGGATGTTAATGGTGTTAATGTTAATGGTTAATGGTTAATGTTAATTTTTTTTATTATTAAAGGTTATGATTTTTTTTTAAATGATGTGCAGGGATAAATCATTTTTAACAAACACTGCAAAAATCCACAAAAAAATAATAACTGGCAATTTTGATTTCATGGCGACTTTAACCCTCATCAAAAGTGTGTGTGCTGCAACAGTTCTGATTTTAATTAAATCCCTCCCTTCAAGTGTTTCTGAATTTACCATTAAAACTGTTTGTTCACGCATTTTTCTTACTGATGAAGTTGTAAGAAACTAAAACATTTTTTCCCTGTAGTCCAACTACAACATTTGTCATGTCATAATAGTCATAATTTAGTTTTACATGGCCATTTTCCAAACTCTTACTGACCCTGTGAATGGAACAGGATGTTCTTGCTACTGTACTGTACCTACTCAGTCTACAATATGTAAAATTACCTTTCTTATAATTAGCTAATCTCTGTTTAGCTAAAGATGTTCATAGTTGAAAGTTTCATTGTGATGTGTTATAAGATGGGTTTTTATTTATTCATTTTATTTTATAGTATTTGTTATATCCTGGAAGATGTTTTAATTGTATTTCATTATAGCCAAGTGACCTCAAAGTCTTAGTTGGGGATTAGTTTGGGGTGGGTTTGTTAAAAAGATTAAAATGTTGATTCTGTAGATTTATTGTGTGGTATTCTGAAATACATATGTCTGAGAATCGATAAAAAACTCTTAATCTGTAAAAACTGGGTGATCATATGTTAATTTAATGATTGCAGCTTACATCATGTCCAATCCAGGTCAGAATAGTTAGGAATCCAGAAACACATGTTCTGTCCATGCTGAAAGAGAAAATGCTGTGTAATGAAACAAAATTATAACCAGAATATATGTAATGTTTAACATAAGGTTATAAGGAGAGGGATATTCCATAAAAAATCATTGTGGGCAGGGTTATCAGAGTAATGTCGCAGAAAAAACCCAAACGACCATCAAAATGTTGTGACACTTGTCAGGGTCATGGCTGTCAGGACACAGCTTCCATAAATGGTCTGACTGGACTGAGATATATCTAGATTAACCAACAGCAGATACATCCCACAAGCACCAGAAAGAGTCTCTGTTTGTTTGTGTTGACCTGCAAGAGGATGCTCCTGTATCTGTACTTCCACTGCAGTCCGAGCTGATCTGGTGTGCACTCAGATGCACTTTACATACTGGGGAGAGAGAGAGAGGGGGGACAGGAAGGAGATAATGAGGAGATGGCCGCAGTGGTCATCTGAGAGCAGGAGATTGCTGGGTATGAGAAATGGAACAGGAAGTGAAGGATATAACAGTCAGCAAGGTCAGAGTTTGGTGTGTGTGTCTATGTAATCCATATGCTAGTACTGTATGAGCAAATGAATGAACGAGTGCATCGCTGGTCATGTGATCGTGCGGGAGCGAGCGAGCGAGCTTCATTCATGTGCCTGTATCCTTTCCTCAGAACAGAGTGTTCCAGCGGTCCTGCGGGAGAGAGCAGTGTACCATGTGACTCCTCTGCGCTGCTCTTCGGCTATGGAGCCTGACAGCTAACCTCCACACACACACAGTGCAGACATCAAAAGCATTTTCATGAACAGGTCTGCTTGCAATCAGTGCTAATTTACCGCGGACCAGCGATCTGGAAAACAAAACTGCATCAAATTAAAGATTCGAAAATAAAACTTCATGCTATTTAGTTCCATGATATTCCAGTATGTTGCGTTTTGCATGATTTTGCAGACGTCATCTCTGAACAATCAAACTTTGGCTGATGCATTAAACAGGCTGCGGTTTAGACAATGAGATGTGAGAGGGGGGCAAAGTCAGAAACAGGGGGTTTCAGTGTCTTAAGCTGGCCCATTTCTTTGTGATCCATTCATTAGTGGAGTAAACAGGAAATTATGTCACCCTTTTGGTTATCCTCACTTCACACACAGTTCTTTTTCCCTAAAAAGTCACAGCTCGGAAGACAAGGTAGGGGGGGCAAAACTTGTACTGCGACACAGGTGTTCTAGAGGGAGGGAGAGAGAGAGAGAGAGAGATGATGAGACGGAGAGAGACAGCAGCAAAATGGAAAAGTAAAAGTACAACAGGACACAGACAGAGAGAGAGACAGTAAAAGCAATAATGGAAACAGAAAGTGGCGGAGACAAAGTGGAAAAAGGAGTGGAAAAGAAGAGGGTGATTGGGGTCGTCCTGGTCGGCAGCCAAGGCAAACAGAATGAAGCCAGTTTCCCAGCCCAGGGCTACACCAAACTCTCCCACTACACACACACACACACACAATCCCAAACACTAACCTCTCCATCCTCAAGCCCAGCCCAGACTGCACACACTGGAGGGAATTTCAAATCTGACTCAACGTGGATGCTGCACACATGAGTTCACAAGCACAACACTCACCATCAGTTAAAAGGGTTCCAGCAGTTTTTAACTGATTCACTTTTGACCAATGACCTTTTACGTTGTTCATGTTTGCTGACAAAGACAGGAGGAAAAAAAGAAGCTGCTTTACAATTTAATGCAAGACAAAAAAACTTTTGAATTACACAGTGTTGTTATTGTTAACTACATCTAAAACTATTAAAAATTATTTTCGTTAATTGTTCATTTATTTTCCGCAACTAGCAGAAGTTGAAATGCTAAAATTACTAAAGCTGAAATTAATAAATTAAAGCTAAACTGAAACATTCAAAAAATTATAAACTAAACGAAAATGGCAAAGGCACAAAACTAAATTTAAACGGGTTATTTCTACAGTGGCATTGCTTTTGTGTGACACTGTATCCACACCAAGTTAAGTCATATTAGCCAGAACAACATAAATACAAGAGTATTAAGTGAGCTTTAAACAATTACATTTGTTAGCTTACAAAAGTATTAAAAAGCATTAAAAACTGCTAGATCCGATTACTTTTCTTCTCTTTTAGAAGAAAACAAACATAATCCCAAGTATTTATTCAATACAGTGGCTAAACTAATGAAATTCTTGCAGCAGCTAGAGTTCTTACTAGAACCAGGAAGTATGACTGACTTACCTGGTTAAATAAAGGTTAATAATAATAATAATAATGACCATATTAGCCCGGTTCTGTCAACACTGCACTGGCTACCTATTAAACATCGTATAATGTCTCCAATAAGACCCTCAACAAACAGATCCATGTTATATGACATTGGTTTGGGGGCAAGTATTGCTCTATCCAACCAATGCAGTATTTTAGAGCAAAACAAAACTTTCTTACAGATGCTTTTCCATGACTTTCAAAGATTTGACTTTTCTTTCTAAGGTTTTTTATGACTATGTGAGTCCTGAATTGAACTGGTGAATTAAATGTCTGTTGGACACATCTAAATACTGTAAGCTCAAGCAAGTCCGACCAACAGCTGCTCATCCAATCGGAGAGCAGAGCATCGGGCCCAATGTAGCATAACCATTCAGAGTTAAGGCCATGCAAACTGAACTAGTCCTTGTACTAGTTCTGCTTGACTGCTGTACCAGATGTCAGACCCCATGAACTTCACATTTACTTGATTAGTTTTATTTGAGTGGGATTTTGCCACAGAACTCACTTGTTTGTCTAAGTATACATGGTGTAATCAATGAGTAATCAAATATTTGAAGGCTTAAACGCGGCTTAAATGGACGTCACATCTTTATTGCAGTGTAAGTACATCTCCCAGGCCAATTGAAGTTCAATTAAAGCATATCCATGATGGACGAAACCGAGCTCCAATCTCATTATCTGACAGTCTGACTTCATAAAAACCAGGCAGGGTCAACTTCAGTCAGACTAAAAAACATTTAAATGGCATTGTAAGGTGACAAATTATTGCTTTAGTCTGACTGAAATAAAACTTTAAAAATACATATTACAAATTACTGTCTGCCCCTGCATTGCTAGTCACCGCAAAATGTTGCTGCTCATTTGCATAAAGTCAAACTTTACTGAACAATCGTATCAACAACAGCCACTATTGCTTGTAACACCAAATCACGAACTTTCATTGAAAACGAGTGACTTTTGGCTGCTGCACATCTCTGTCAGCATGGATACTTATGGATACATATATTGGGAAGCCACAAGGCACTCACTCCTATGTCTTTACAAGCAACAACAAAACTGAAGGAAAGCAGGACAACCTGGTTGAAGTACCCTAGATCCCATAAGAACACCTAGAGCAGCTTCTCACATGGATGTCACATTAACTTTACCTTGAGTTGAGTGAGTGTGTTTATTTGTACACAGCAGCCCTTGCAGTCCACAAAAAAGCTAAAACACAACACGCTTTCCAAACGTACTGATCAAATAAATAAAACATCACCATAATCTGCTCAAACCGAGCATTATGCATCAGGATGGGTGCAAGCATGTGCAGAAAACCCCATCAAACGTAGCAGTCCGGCACGTCAGAGCTGTGCAGTGAGAAATGACGGATACCAATCTGAATGCAGCTGCTTCTCCAGCAGACGCACACAAACACACACGCACGTTCAGTGAAATGCCACACCAGCATCAAACATGGCTCATGAACACGCGCGTAAAGAGGCACACCCACATGCCGGTTTCCACAGACACAGACTGAAGCCACGCTGTGGCCCGCCCATGACGGAGAGAGCCGTCTCTGGAGACACACGACCCGGCGAGCTGACCGACACACAGGCAGAGACAAGCTACTCACCTCTCTTCTGGACCCAGCCTTCCTTAACGATGGTGACATCGCTCATGTTGCCTCAGTCACACTGTACCCGCCGCTCCTACACACCAGCTCCTGAAGGAGTGAGGAGGGGGGGAAGGAGGAGAGGAGAGGGGAGGGGGGTCAGCTCTCCCAGCCTCAGCGTCTCTCTCCCTCCCTCACTGCTGCGCTCTGTCTCTCTCTTTCCGTCGTTCTCGCTGGCTGCCTCTCTCTCTCTTGCTTCGCTCTCAAAGGCGTTGTGTAGCGGTTTTCCCCTCCTTCCGTTGCTTTTCTCTCTCACGCTCTCTCCGTGATGCTGTCTCCCTCTCTCTCAAGATCTTCCAACTCCTCGACAGTGACTCAGCCTGAAAGAAACATAAAAAAAGGAGCGTGTGGATTTTTCACTCTTCTCTTCCTCTTTACTCCCCCCTTCTTCTTACACAATCTGACAGACAGCCATTGTAAAAGCAGACGTACAAGCCCCGTCGCCTCTCTGATTTCCCTGTCTGTCTGTTTTTCTCTCATTCTCACTCTCAACATGCACAACTGCTTAACACTTACCAGCAACACAGACACCTGCAACAAAGTCTGATGAGGACGACTATGAGAATAAATAAGCAAACGTGAAGTCTCATGGTAAATGCAATGACGTCTGAAGGAGAGCATTAGGCACTATGAAAATGCATAGTTTCATTCATTAAATCAGAAAGCTCAACAAAATATATTGTGTATGTACTGTACACTAGTGCTGTCAGTCAATTAAAATATACTTAATCATAATTAATCTGTTTCTTTGTAGTTAACCCACTTTCAAAGTGAAGAAAACAATGTGTAATTATAGTGTTATTATTGTGTGTACTGGATTATTTATGTGCATTCATATCTGAATATATATGTGTGTGTGTGTGTGTGTGTGTGTGTGTGTGTGTGTGTGTAGACACTAGAAAGAGGGAAACTGCAAAAGTGCCTTTTACCCATCACTCTCGGACAAAGAAATATAGAGATGAGCATATTGCATGCTAACACATATTTAATGCTAACATAACTTACAAAATAACTTTACATATGGAATTGCATGAGTAAAGCTAGAATTATGCAATTGAACAAATTAGATTTGAGGTGAAGGGCAAGATTATCAGTAAATAATGGCTTAAATTCTGGTTCCTCACACGAAACTATTCTGACTTAAGATGACGTAATATTGTGAAATAGTATTACAATATAACTACTTTCTATTGCTTATTGCCCTTTTTAGAGCTTGACATATTAAAATCACCTTTCATAGAATAATTTTTTAAAAATCAATACAAAGTTAGAACAACATGGAATGAGCAAACGATGACAAATCTTTCATTCTTGAGTGGACTATCATTTTAAGAAGTTGCTAATGAGTAATAACTGACATCTTAAAATATCAGATTGAAAAAAACTGTGAAAGCTGAATCATTTTTAGAAAGAGGAAAAGGACTTCAAATTACAACACTGATAAATGTGGCAGAATGCCAACACTTACTATCATCCAAGAGAAAGACTAAGAGATGGAATAAATAACTACAATTATCATGTGAATACTACAAATGAGTCCTAAAAAGTCTTAAAGCAGTCTCAAAAATGTGGCAGATAGCACAGCACGTACGTAAATCCGAAGCATTACATCAAAGCAGTTACATCTACGCTGCACAGTGACAGTTTTAGAAAAACACAAAGCAAAGTATGTCCCTCTGACAGAGAAGTCAAGCAATAAAATAAATATACCGTGAGAAATATGAGATGTTTGAGGAGATATTTGCCTGCATTTCCTTACCTTTAAAATGCTAAAGTACATTTAAAAGGATGTTAATCAAAATGTTTTGTTTTTGCAGAAGCAGTCCTACGTGTCAAATCCAAGCATTCAAATGTGTGCGAGCAGAGAAAAGGGAAGTCAGCATGTTAGGATCACTAACAGGGTAAACCTCCAATGGCTAAACAGATCAGCTCAGAATGAAAGAGTGAATCAAAGAGCGAAAGAGTGAAACCATTAGTCTTTACCTGAACTCAATCAGAATGTGCCAACATTTGACAACCATACTCAACCATAAAGTAAGAAATCACTCAACATATTTGTTACCAGTGAAGCGTGAACCGTGATAAACAGAAATCTGAATGCACAATTGTGATGCAGTGTTGTGTCCTCTATAACAGAAAGACAAATGACTGAAAGGCTCCTATTTTCCCTTCGGAGATAATTAACAAATGATGTTTGTTGCAGACTTTTGGACACGGTGCCAGAAGACATCACAGCTACTGAATAGACTGCAGCCCGTAAAGATACAAAGACCAACACAGCTCCCTCAATGTCATATAGGGCCAATAAAGAAAATGACCTGCAGGGCTCCCTCGTAACATAAATACTTTTTTTTTTTTTTTACAGCAAATCACATGTGGGTCAGACAAGGAATATTTAGCATCCTTCAGTCATTCAGTAAAGGCAAACGAAGGGCCTCTTGAGGCCAGAGTATTTACAGTACCAACTGATAATTCCTGGTTGTGTGCATTTAGCTGCAACCTTAATCTGCTGTTAATATGGTAAGGAGAGTACATGGGTGATTCAAGGTCCAAAGAGATATCAGTGAAGCCCTTAATCATTTAACACAAGCAGGAAACCCTGAACGTGACTCACCTTGGAACCTTGGAAGACCCTGCTTGTCACTAAAGCAAGAAAAAATCCCCTTCATTTAATCCATAGAGAAATTGATTTTGAACGTTAATGAATAAACCTTTCAAGACAGACCTACCTTAAATTCTGAGGAGGTTAAGCAATGACATGCTACTGTAGAAACTATAAGTCAGTGTCATTACAACAACACTGTGTTTAATAAAAACACTTAGCTCACTGCATCCAGCATTTCGAGTCTTGTTGTTCTACTATTTTTTAAAGCAGTCATCTGTCTGATTCGTTTTCTGACAAGACACTCAAGAGTGAGTACCACACCATAAAGAATCAGCAACAGACTTCAGATAATACTGTGCTTTAACCTCACTTTAACACCTTACCAATAAACCTATTTGTAAATATTTGAACACAAGCGCTGTTTTGAAGCTGTAAATAAAGTGAATTAAAAGACTAAACTTCTCAGACAGGTTTTTAACATGCTGACTGCTAAAGTACCGCCAGCTGCCCGCATCTCATAATTACCTGACAATTGTTTCTCATTTTAAATGCACCACCACTAAAAGTTATCAAATTACACTCAAACTACTTACATGTAATCTGGATATTTAGAATAATATTATATATATAATATTGTATGTAACATATAAAATAATGCTTCATGAGATGAGATCATTGCCTCATAAAAAATTGCCTCATTTTTTAATTTCCTGTATTATTTTGGTTTCAAATCAAACTAGAACATGAAAGGGAAAAATACTTCAAGACAGATTAAGGTTGCTGAAAAAGTTGGCCGCCATTGTTGCTCTCTATTGGATTTTTATGGTTCCCAGAGTATATTTAAACTTTAAGAAATTAAAAGTATTTTTGGTGTTAAGGAATAGAAAGTTTCTGTTTGATTGGGCCAAAGGAAATGTATATTGTTTGGCCTCTATGGGGGTGATAAATATTTCATGCAAACAAATCAAATATAACACGAGGTCTGATATAGAATGTAATGATGCACATTTACATGAAATTCCACAGTGAAAAACTGGGAAATCTAAAAAAAAATAAAATAAAATAGGAACCCACAAGTCTGAGTTGGACCAAGCTGAAAGACATAAAGCAATAAAGAAATAAAGAAATAAAGCAAAAGACACAAGACACTAAACAAGAGGAACGATGTGTTTCAGCCCCATTAAATGATCATTTTCAATAGGGTTGTTGAGCTATTCTACCTTACCAACCAAGCCCCAACATCATCTATATTCTGGCAGCAGCACAGACTCTCTGTTCCTTTCGCTCCCTTTGAGTGACAGGAGACACAATTCCACTGCGTCACTGTCGCAGTCAAGCATCTGTAAGCCTATCACCGCAGCACTATCTGGGGATGTCCTGAAGCTGCCACACCAAATACAATTTTTCCATACAAATGAGGGGAGCACCCTTGAGATAATCATTTAATTCCTGAGCAGGCCTGGGAAGGAGGGGCTCTCCTGGTGAGCCCAGACAAACACAGACACGCAGCATCAATCATTCTCAGCGTGCCACAGAGCAACGTCTAAACATCCGCCACAAGCCTTCAATGCAGAATGTACATTTATTTATATTGAACTATTCTCAGATGTATTGGCGCAATACCCACTAGTTTAATGAACAAACTGGGAAAGGCAAATAAGCCCACATTTTCATGGTAGTATCATTCTGAATTGTTAGAAAAAGAACAATGTGACTGCTTATGGTAGTAGAGATGGACTCGTGGGGGGGGGGAGAATTTTTATTTTTTTATTCACTAAGGATGCATTAAATTGATTATTAGTGACAATAAAGGCATTTATAATTTTACAAAATATTTATATTTTATATAAATGCAGTTCAAATCAATTTTAACTTTCTATTGATCAAAGAATCATGAAAAAATGTATTAATAATAATAAGAAGAAGAAGAAATGTTTCCTGAGCACCAAATTTAGCATAACAATGATTTCTGAAGGATCATGTGACACTGAAGAAGTAATAATGCTGAAAATTCAGCTTTGGCATCACATTTTAAAATATACTAAAATGTAAAAGTGTTATTTAAAATAGTAATATTTCACAATACTACTGTTTTTACTGTATTATTGATCAAATAAATGCAGCCTTGGGGAGCATAAGACACTTTCTAAAACAAGAAAAATCTCTTACAAACCTCAAACTGCAACTCATGATATTATGAAAAGGTGCAAGAACTCCAGGCACTGCATCTTTAAATTATTCCTGTGATAAGATAGATATCTACTGCGAATATAAACTGACACCATCCAAAGTTTCTAACGTCCCCTGAAAGAGTTTTCAACTGATGGATATTTTCTCTTCAAGTAATCAGAGAAGAATCGCTGAAGGTGAAATCCAGCCCTTTCCCAGCAACACTTTCAATTTCACTAATCGCTGCTAATGTTACCCTGAAGCAAAGGAAATCCGTGAGCTCCCATCACAAGTCCCCTACAACAAGACTCATTCAGAATAAGCTGTTTACAAAGCCCTTCCAATATTGTTTTTCATGAATCTTCTTTTGGCTGCAAAGAGCAAATTCGTAATGTGGCTATGGTTTGCCCTATCAGCACCTTAACATGCAAAGACTGTAATGCACCACAAGAATAATTAAGCACATGCTCACATGTAAAGCAATGTACTACACTGTTATATTCAAAACAAGACATTAATATCCTAATCTGAAAATGTATTTAAAGTTAGTAACTTCAAACGATATGGAACATGCCACCACCCCATTCAAGGATTCAAAAGACAAACCACATTTGTTTTAAGTAACTGAGAGCTTCAGCATCTCCATGAGGTTTTGTTTGTATGTAATATGGAAGAGTTGTATGTTGCAGAGAGAGCCGTGAATAATGAAAGATTTCTCTGCAGTCAGCCACCAATGCTGCAGCCGCAAACACTGTAACAGAAACTGAGAAGACGCTGTGGTCTATCTAAAACCTAAGAAGAGGAAATGAGAATTTGTGAATGAATACTGGCGGATGTGGATGTCTGAGGACTCTGAGGACCTTTGCTAATCTGCTGCAGTCATTATTCAGGAGTGCTCTTACTCTTTCTCGCCACAGAGCTGGAGAGCACTTAATGTGAGGTCAATTTAGTAATGTCTTTAGCTCTTGTTTTATATAATCTACTTAAAGACTTTCTTAAAAATTATTCTTCCATTAATAAGGCTCGCAGGATGTTCAAAAAATTCAGTCAAGCACGTCAGAATTAAACTCTAAAGTTATTTATGAAGTTAAACTTATGTTGATGAAATATGAATTTGTTTCTTTTGGAAAAAATACAACACAACACTTCTACATCAAGAGAAACGTCATATAAAGTGAAAAATAAAAGCAACCAGCAGCAGATGTGTGATATGCACCAGTGTTTAAACGGGACATTTGTTTATTTTTAACTCAATTTGAGTGAAGGGCTAATCTAAAACAGCTCTTTTCAGGGTGTCTGAAGATTCCGGAAGCATTGCTGCCAAGCTTTGTTTGTAACCAGTAATTTTTTCTCAATGTGCACCTAAAGAGATTTCATCTGTTGCACCATTTCCTGAAGTTTTAGATCTAAATTACATAGATGATGCATCAATATACAGCCAAATAATAAGATCAATAAGGCCAACTGACACTATTGATTTGACAAAAAGCTGTAACCACATAGCTATAACTGAAACAGACTGTTTAGGCACAAAATAAAGCAATAAGCCCCATCGGCTTCACAGGGCTTATTGCTTTTATAAAACGGTTATTCCATATACGTAGTAAGGTTTCACAAAATAAAACAGAGCAAATAAAGTGTAATGATATTAATAAAAACATTACTCTTCCGCCAAACAATGTAGTTCCTCAGAAACGGTTGTGGTTCCAACAAAGTGGTTGCCGAGCAACGCACAAATGTAAACAAAGGTGTATGTTTGTAGAGTCATTTACGACAGCTTCGAACTTGGCTCAGCCAATCAGAATCAAGGACCGGAACTCTCCGTTTTATAGCCATCAATAAAAAACTGGTTATCTTAGTGAGAAAATTAGCAATATGGTGCAGTGGGAGACTTGATGAAACTGAAATAATCGGTCAGTTAGGCTCACTAAAAGTCAAGTAGGTTGAAGTTATGCACACACACATATTCATATGATTTTCTCAGCTATTTAACATGCTCTCTGAATGCAAATATTATATTATATTAATTATATTTCTTCACAACAACTCATTTATCACAAACTAGCTACTATTCAACAGCGAGCAAGGCATTTTCATCATTACATTGATATACACACATAAAGAGCACTATGTTCATTAGTCAATAACATGATACTCATGAGTTTGATCCAGATCTAAACTATTTAAAAATACATATACAATGCTATTCATACAAAAAATGGCTTAAAAACATCTCTTCTATGATGGATTTTAATTTCTGCATTTTGATATTTCTATTAGGTTTAAACTCGCGTCAAGGTGGTGTAACTGGGGAATCTGGGAGAAAAAAATATTAAAAGTTTGACATTTTTTAAACAAACTTGAAAATGTTAGCTTTAACATGCATTATTAATTATTTATTTTTTTAAAAACTGTTTTTGTTTTTTTTTTACTAAAAACATTATTAACATTTTACAAACTTGTGGCATCACTGTGCATCAAGGTCTTATAAAAAATGTGACACATTTTGACCTTTTTATGAAAAGGCATGTTTTGTTCAAAACTGAGGATCCCCAAGATTATTGGTATTCACAAATTCAAAAAGTATGATACCAGTAGTAAAATACAGTAAAAAATATTCTTTACCTTGTAAATATGTTACAAAGTAATGAACGCTCACTCACATGTATTAAAGGTGCAATGAAAGTATCTTAGTAAACCACTTGGCAATTTAATCATTAAAACAAACTGTTTGTAGAAATGTTTTTTTTAAATCAACGTGAATGCAAAGCTTAAATTTCTAAGAAAATGGCCAAATGTTCTTTAAAAAGCATTCTTAATGTCATGATGAAACAGAAGTAGCGACAGATATGTACTGTAGGGAAAGAACTTGGTTCTATCCTTTAGATGTTTACCGGACTTTGAGATGTGGGCGCTGAACTCAAAAGTGGAGACAGATGAACATTACCCTGCAGGAGTGGGGTTTAACTGGACTAAAAGTTTGGAGATGTCCTGCAGACCTCACCAGAGAAAGTCTGACGTTTCAAAGGAAAATCCAGTCACCACATTCTGATTAAACATTACGAAGAAAAAAAATTTAAAGAAAAATTGAAAACATAGATGGATGAATTGTTTTCAATAAGATCAATAACATGCATTGATAAAATAGACAGGGTGAATTTTAAAACAGATTTTACAAAGACCTTTGTCCTTATTACATTCCAGACATCCTTATTTGTCCTTGACCCTAATGATAAAGGGGTCATATGATGCGATTTCAATTTTTCCTTTCTCTTTGGAGTGTTACAAGCTCTTGGTGCATAAAGAAGATCTGTAAAAGTTGCAAAGACTAAAGTCTCAAATCCAAAGAGATATTCTTTATAAAAGTTAAGAGTCAACCACGCCTACCTAAAACGGCTCGTTCTAACACACCCCACATGTCTACGTCACGATGTGAGAAGATTTGCATAACGCCGCCCAAATGTTAACGCAAAGAAAGAAGGCGTAACTTTGATTCTCGCTGTAGTATTGTTGTTGCCGCCATGTCGTGAAGACGCTGTGTGTTTCGTTGTGAAAGCGAAACTACTTTGTTTGACCTTCCAAAAGAGGACGATATC